TTGAGATCTTTGTAGAGCTACAAATGGACAATTTGTACGAAAGCACAGTCGGGAACCGTTCTGATTTCTTTAAACTTTCCTGCATGGGAAGGAGATACATAGTGATAGGGACAAGTTCTCCACTCCATAACGACATCGACCGCTAGGCGTCTGCGACTTTTGGCGAGCAGGACTTCGAGATCTATTTTTCGGGTGGAATCCGTGTGGAAAGGAAAAAGCCCATCCGGGTACTTGCTAAGCCCATCTTCGCGCATATGGATCCTTGCGTAACATATACTTATACAACAAGACCTTCTTTCGTATGCAAAAAGTCAGCGACACAATTTGCCGCAGTCACAGCATCTCGCCTTTTTCGGCTTTGTGAGATCCAAAGTTTATCACAAAATTGCTAGTTCTCGAATCGCAAACTTACTTTTAGAAGCTTCCAAAGTGTCGATTGCCAAAATGGGTTTTCTCATCATAATTTGGTGACAGGAGGTAATTCTGCTCATGACTGAGCCGCAAAACCGAACTGGCTGTATGGGAGGACACCTCCGCTAAACCCGCGCTTCGCGAAGCAATGCGAATCTCGAAATTGAAGGCATCCAATTGATCCAGAAGGCTATTCAATTTTTCCATGATTTGCGGCGAACTGCGCATGGCGGCATCCTCAGCGATTGCAGCTTGAATGTCTCCGCCCACATGTTCTACAAGAATTTTCGCAAGTGCTGCTCCGGTCCAGATTCCCGCCTCCAGCTTTGCCGTCACGGTATACGGCTCCCCTTCCCGGGTTCCAAGGCCAAAACGAGCACAGGAGGCCGAGCCAATTTCGATATCAATAGTCGTATGGGTCTCATCCAGCAAGTACTGCGCTACGGCTTTTGCAAAAAGTGGCAAGAATTATGAGGAAAGACCTTGAGCCCCCAGCATCAAATACATCTACTTCGTAAGTACCTTTTTTATGCTGGTACATTCAGAGCCCTTGAATATAAACGACTGTTTGATACTAGTACGACGCCAGGACACGGAAGGTTGTGGACAGTCCATGTTGGGCAAAACAGGTGTAGGCGAAGCGCAGATATACAACTGGCGCCGATGCTAAAATGTAAATGACGATAATCATGCTCACACAGGTTGCCTCACGATAACAAGACGGACTCGGAGGTTGGCATTGGTGTGGCCGGAGGCTCGTTGGCCAGATCGCTTGAAATCACAAGCGGATTCGAAGCGCTAGCATCGATTTGTCCGCGAACGTGCTGCTCTGCCTGGACGCAAGCTTCTTCAAAAACCTGTTTGAGTGAAAGTTCCTCCATTAACGTCGTTGCGTATTCGCTTTGAAGGTCGGAAAACACATCACTTGCGAGGACCTTACTTGGTGAGTAAGTCGGAGAGAATAGACCCAAGACGCGATCCGCGGCCTCAGTGTCCTCCCAGCGCGCAAAAGCTACGGCCTGAGGAAGATACACATCCGCGTTTTTCTCTGGACAGCAACCCCGGACCCGGCAATTACATTCGTTTTTCGAGTCACCATGGACAATCCTAACTGCTTGTCTCCGGCTCAACGGCAAAACGATTTCCGCCGGCAAAACCAGGAGACGCTCGTGAAATTCCGTAGTCTATAGAAATGAAAGTTGCTCCAGCCCGACAGAATTTCGCTGTTGGTTTCGTTTTCGTAATGCAGCACGACAACATGAAAGAGAATGTAGAGAACCGCAACGGGTTCGTTCGCTTCTCAATGATTAGCAATTCTTTATTTTTTTGAGTCAAAAAAAAAAAAAATGAGTCGCACACGAAACAAGGACAGATGCAGAAGTGCGCAGTTGCTCTCCATTAACCCGTGGCATTTTGCATGTCCTCACAAACGGACATTTGCATTTGCTGGTTAAGAATATTTCATTCAAATGAATACATCCCGCGAGAGCGCGCGCGAGAGGGGACTGAAAACCGCCTTCCGGCGGGCCACGCTGTAGAAGTACTACTTCGCAATAATCGTAGGGTGTCTGACAGCTAGGGAGGCACTGTCAATCCTGTGTTTAATACAATTAAATTTCCCTGCTACAAAAACAAAACAAACAGCAATGGCGGGTTGATGAGAACGAAGATTCCGATGCATATATTGAATCCTGCTTTGGCTGTTGCAGAAATGGTGCCAAAAGGATCAACACGCTGCTTCGTCGGCGTAGTCAGAGTACAGTCGTAGTACCCGATCGGGGACCTGACCGCTTTCTGGTTCCGGCACACAAAATCTTCTTCTTCAACATCAGTGGCGTGTTTTTCGTACGCCTGCAAATGCGGTGCGGTGGTCTGCATCTCGAGGTGAAAAATAGTGGTGTTGCGATCTTGACGCAATTCGCAGACATGCGGATGCTGAGCGTGAAAGTAGGACCCGGTGCGCTTGTCGTGGAAATACCAACCACTGCACCTCGATCTCGTCCACCTTTGTCGCCTTGCCGGGTCCAAGTTCTGATTGGAGTAGAGTACGGACAATTGTGCGTGTCGCGGTCGGTGTCGCTCTCCCCCCGCGAGCTCCACCAACCAGTCGGCCGCAGGCGAGACAAGCCCTTCGCCGGTCCGCGCGTTGCGCTGCAACGTCGAAACGAAAACCTCTCTCGATTGTACCAGTCTCGGAGTCAGTGTCTGCTTGCGGAAATTGGGACAGATCAGTCTGTTTCAGACAAAAACGTGCAGAGTTTACCCTCATTTTTGCGCGGCAGCTGCAAAGGTCAGATCGGTCTGTAATGCACAAGAAGGAGGATGAATGCAAAAAGGCTGCACAAACATGTCAATGCGCTGCAAAAAACTGGTCAAGAGTGACAAAGTTGGCCTGCGTTTTCCCGAGCTGGAATCATCATGATTCGAGTGAATCGATTACTTTTGAAAGATGAAATGCTTGTCCTAATGGAGATGCACCTGCAGAACCGAGCCTGATTTGAGGAAGTCGAAATATCATATTTCCATATCTCGTTGCTGCTTTCTGTGCTCATCGGCCATATCGCGTAGCAGGTCCAGGAGTTCGTCAGCAAGGCAGAGAAAAACTGCGTGGTATCCGATCACGCGCAGCCGCCCATTCGCAACGCAACGACTGACCCCGTCGTTCCAAACTTGTGTGATTTTTCTCCGTGCGTCCCGAAAAACCCCTCCGCCGGGATCCTGCTCAGCAAAGACAGCATTCGTTGAGGACATGCTCAAGGACGGACCTTCCGCTGCTGTGCTTGTTTCTGGATTCCTGGTGATCATGGCCAAGCTCCCCGCGCAGCCGCAAAATGCGACTCGCACAAAAACGCCCACTAGCGCTCGTTGCAACATTGCGCAATCGCAGGGCTGCAATCGATGAGTCAAACAAACTATTAAAGTACAATGGAACCTGGCGGTTCCCGACAAGGAAAGAGATATAGGGGGCGTGTGGGTTTGTCCAAGTCCACGCTCGATAAATAAAACACAGTCAATTATTAGGAAATAGAGAAATCCAAATCAAAAAGTTTGATGACCAGACCAATCTGTCTTGCTTTGGCGTTCGATTAGTAGATTTTACACGACGTATAAATATATAATGTTCGAATGCCACAAAAGCGGCACACATATGATGCTGGAACCGAGTGAAAATACAAGTGATATAGGAGTTGTTTTGACTCCCAAAGCAGTAACTGCGACGAGATCCTTTACCAACTGAACCTAAAGTAGGAAACTAACGATTGAATGAAAGAAAATTATCCATGTATGCTCGCCTAGACATGAGATGTCAAACGTCTCGAGTAGTGCAAAGAGACTTTTAAAGAGACTTTTGGAGCATGAAAAGTGAAAGCCTTCTTTTTGTATTTGAATAATAGCGACCGCAAATTGAAAATGAGATGAGGCCTGGAAGAGCAGTTGGTCGCTCAACTACTAGACCAGAGTCTCACGCTTCCTCAACAAATGAAGTACGTGTGCAGGTATTTGATTAAAAGAAGCCAGCAGCGTCGTGCAATTCCATAGCACTCGGAGGGCCGAAAAGTCAACCTTAGTGATGGCTCACCGTCAACTCCTTTCACTTCATAGATAGAAATCGTAAACAGGAAGCAAATAAGTGAGTTATTCGACAGGTCCAAAGTTGGGAGCTTTGTTCAGGAGCGTGGTCTTTCTTCGCAAAGAAGCCCTTTTAAAAATGTAGTGAAGTCTACAAAGCTGCCTGTCGTTTGCAACATTGAATTCGGAAACATTGCTCTTGTCGCACCAACTGGCAGCCACGTTGTCGATAGAAAGGTGATCCTCTTCCATCGGGTCTTCTGCTTAGGTTTGATCTTCAAATCTGTACAAGATCCCGTATGGCCAAACGATCCACAACTGAGGCACTTTTCCCGCATTTGCATCTGAAGAAAGGAGGATCATTGATTGCTACCGCTTCTACGTAAGTACTAGGAATGTTGCTTGATCTTCATCTTCACTTACTATGTGATAGACGGTGCCTGTGCCGCTACTGCAAGGACAACATGAAGATCGGCGGCGTCCTCATCAGAAACCAAACCCAACGACGTGACATTGGCGAAAAGCCGGATTATTTTGTTTTTTCGCAACTTGCAAGGTTCTGATGAAGCTGCATTAAGCACAATGAATTGTCCACATGCACCAGCTCGAGTGCGATATCATGGTTTTTTGCGTCAACGGAATTTCCTCGGAATGAAACAGAAAATATATGTATTAACAACTAGGAAAGATCATCTTTGGGTGCCCAATAGTCCAAACTCCAGCGCTTCCCCCTGTCGGAGCTTCGCGCTCTCAATAATGTATATTCTTTTGAAGAGGCCCAATGCAATGATGCAAACTGTTGAGAGCAATGGAGTAGATCATAAAACGAACAACAAGTAGATGGAGGCACAGATATATAATAATTCATTCATTCATTCATTCACAACAAGCTTGTATCCTTTTGAGAGTCTCATCGTTTGCTCACGCGTTTCTCGGATGTGCTTACAAATGTATCTTCTTCATCATCATCACTTCCTTTTCTTTCGTTCACACCGCTCTGGCGGCGTAGGTTCCATCACTCATCTTCTGGAACCAGACGCCACGCACTCTGTATTCTTCTCGGCCGGTGCTTTCACAAAAGTCCTCGGCTTCAATTTCGAACTGCACCGCGGTCGGATCGTCGTCGGTTTTCGTCGTTTGCCAGTATTTGCCTCCGGCACTGGGAACTCTTTCCCAGCGCCTGCCGCTGATTTCCGCGATGAAGTCCTGCATCTGCCGCTGTGCTTCCTCTCTTTGTCGCTGTATGTTCTCGTTCTGGCGTTTGGTTTTTTCCTTGCAGGCTTTCGTCTTTCCTCGGTTGTCCCCCTTCCGTTCCTTCGGCAGTGATTTCGGAATATGTCCATGGACCGTAACGCTGGCATTGGCTTCCTATGAATGTAGCTGTTATTATACATGCCATCCTATTCCTAGCGCACGAATATCTAAATTACGCAGCCAATTTTACACTTTCGTCGAAATAACTGCAAGAAGTGACATTCTCCCGTCTGGAACTGGTACCATGGTGCGCACCAGAGGTCGGAAGAAGTATTCTGAATTGTCCACCTTCTTTCTAGTTTCAGTATAAGCTTATTTGCCTCTGAGAGTACCAATGCGGGCTGCACTCTTAGGAGACGAAAAAAATAGAAATGACCGCAATGGGATATTATCCACATCAGACGTACAGGACGAACAAAAACAAACCCAACTAGAACTACAAGGAGCTGAAGATTTACAAAACAAGTATTTTCGTCGGCCGCGATGTTCCGACGGCTCTTTCCGTCTAGCAGTACTGGGCTTCCATTTGGTATCACTACGTAGTACGAGATATATTTATAATAGCTCCCAGGTGGTAGTTCTTTAATACACCACCAGAAAGTCCAACAAGAAGCAAAACGAAAGCTGCGTCGCTGCAAAGCTTGGACATGGACAGCGAGGCGGCACAGGAAAGCTTCCGCCGCAGATAAATGGGATGTCGCAGCGTTTATTTTGGGAAGCTTCTAGTGTCCGACGTTGTAATGGAAACCCCAATCATATGGGGATGGACTTCGTGCCCTAGGCGGGGAAGGCGGGGAAGGCGGGGAAGGCCACTCAGGGCTCGCCGATCTGTGCCGAGTACGCTGAGTTTCGCGGTTCCGTTCGTCCTCTTCCTGCTTGCGTCGCGCTTCTTCTTGCCTTCGCCGCTCTTCTTCTTCCCTCCTGCGCTTTTCTTCTTCGGCTCGTTTCCGGTCTCGCTCCCTCTTCTGGTTTCGCGCTTCCTGTAGTGCGGCCTTTACCTCGTTATTTTCGTCTGTTGCTTTACGGACCTTTTCTTCTGCTTCATGCTTCTCCCGCTGATCTCTACGGAGACGAGCCTCGATCTCGGCCACGCGCCGTTCCAGGCGTGCGATCTCCGCGCGGTCGTGCTGCTGCTGTCTTGCAAGCGCACGATCGTTTTCGCGCAATGCATGCTGTGCGTGGCTGTGTTCCTGACGCAGGCGCCTTAATTCCGAGTTTGCATGCTGCATCCTCCGCCTCAGGTCGCGCCGTTCGTTCTCGTCCGACTCCAGCTTGCGATGGAGAGCAGCTTCTATCTCAGCCATCCTTTGTGCAGACCATGTATCGATGACCTCATTGTCACGGGTTAGCGTCCTAATACGGGCTTGCTCCAACCCCAGCGAAATGCAGTGTAAGTGCGGTGGGATCAGAGAAAGCAAGTTTGGTGTCATGCCTAGTATCTGAGGAGAAAGTGTGCCTCACTCATGCTGAACTTGAATGCTTGTGAGCAGAAAAGTGCCACGAATGCTGACGTGACGTATTTATTGAATGCCCCTCCCATATCAATCTTTTATGCGACTTACGTTTTCAATAGAGCGATGTCCATTTTTTTTTTGCGATAATGCAACTTGTCTACTAGACGAGCCGGCATTCAACAAGTTCATTTACCACCGCCAAGCATATCGCGCATTGGTATGCAAGAGCAAGGACTCATCTGCCTGATCACAGGTGGAAATAGTGCTTCTCTGCGTCTTTTCTGACCCCATGACTGTGATACTTACATCAGATAAGCTGAAACTCATGCTCGAGCCCTATGGCGCGCTCCTTTGCGAGTGCTTTTGCGCGTGTCTCTCGCTGTTCCGAAAGGGCTAGTTCTGTCTCGCGCGCTCTTGTTAAGGGTGAAGAGAGTCCCGCCCCTAGGTTCGAGTGATCTTTGTGCGTGCAAGTCGTCACAGTTGACGTTTATGCAACTGATGTTCATTGACAAGAACGATGCCAAATATAGCCGCCTTCTTGCCGACCGTCGCCTTTGCCGGGGTTATGCTTTTTGCGGCCCCGCCGTGCCGTCGTGGATAACATTACGCCTCACGGAATGGCGGCCAATTCAAAAACCCCAAAGATTTTTGGCAAATTTTCGAAATTCCCTTAAGAAAGCCAGCCCCGACGCGGGCCCGATCCGGGCGCCACGGGGGGCGCCCAAAAACCAAAGGAAAACGGGGCCCATAGCATGCGGATTGGCTTCGCGCGCGCGGCGCGCTTTTTCTTTTTCCCGTTTTTATTTTTCGCGCCGGCGCTTTTTGCAAAGCCTCCTCCGATTAGAAACCGGCGAAAAGCAAGGCGGCCGCACCCGCGGCCGCCCAAAATTAATGCTCCGAAATCGCGGCCGCGCCATGCGGTTTCGCTGTTCTTATTTTGGGCTCGTCTTTTTGGGGCGCCTTTTTGGGCGCCCAAAGTCGCCAGAAACCAAGGCGGTGGGCGCGTCAGAAGGGCGCCCCTTTTGCCGGCTCCCTTGCGTCGTGTTCTCCAGCGGCGATCGATAGAATCCGCCGGCGATTCGTTGACGGCAAAGCCCAACAGGCTGGCGCGCTTTGATTTTTTTCAAGCGAAAAAACTCTCTTTGCACAGGCTGGAACAAAACTGCCGGGCGTTTTTGGCGGGGCATGGCAAGAAAACTGGCAGGCTAGAGCCGTTCGGTGACCTCACTACATATGAGATCATGACGCTGATAGCGGCCCCCCGTGGGTCGCTATCAACATCATTTGAATGCAGCCGACAAAAAGCATAAAAGGCATAGAGCAGAACAGCCCCCGCGCACAATGTAGCTGCTAAATCACGCAAAGCAAATTCTTGCCTTTTCTCTAGATCATTTCTGCTTGGGCTTTTAGTCACTGCGTTCCTCGTCGTGGATTTTTGCGGGTCTGCTAACACAAAGAGAAAAGACAGACTGAATTTGTCTTGTTGATCCGGGCATATGCAAGATGGTCCGCGAGGCACTCGCTGCCGTAATGTACAAAATTCAACCGCGTTTCCTCGGGGGGGACCTTTGCATTGCGGTATTTCGGTCAACACGCGATCAGTCGCCGCTTCAACCTCTTCCTCCTCTTGTTGTCGTTTTCGGTTCCGTAGCTGGCTTTCTCTTCTCCAGAGAGACACCTGCTCCTCATATCGCAGGGCTCGCTATCACCGTGAAAAGCGGACGCGTCCCTCATGCATCCTTGCACAGAAGCGGCATGTTACAAAAAAGCAGGCGTTTTTTTCCTTGATGCGGAATGCACTTTGTGTGGGCATTTCTTTGTCACGCCACAATACAGGTTCGATCATGGAGCTCGCTAACCTCAATCTAGCGTCGCACTTCATGCTGCACTGCAGCTACCTGCACGCAAGCCTGCGCATGGTCGAGTTCTGGCGTTCTCGAGGATCCGTGGATGATAGACTGTCTACAGTTGCCATGGACGGATCGGTACTTACAAGCACAACCAGCAAGAAAAACACATACTGTTATGCGGCCAATAATTTCATTACACCATGCTTAGCTTTTGTTTCAAGATCATCTTGACTGACGGGCCACATTTCGCCGGAATAGATTTTCGCGTAGCTGTTCTTCTGCTTGCAGTCTCAGGTCGGCGAGTCTTTGCTCGTACCGAGCCCGCTGGGTATTGTCCATCTGATCATCGCGAAGTTCGTCGTTTTGACTCCTGTATCACAAAGAAAATGAAAAGCCCACCACACCAGAGAAAAAATAAATTTGTCATGATGTTTTTTGTGTCTTTGATGTTCAGCATGAGAGGTAATGTTTTATCAGCACCTTTCTTGACCTTGTCACACTAGACGGGATTACGTTCTCCATCATGCACGACAGAAGCTTGCTCCTCCTGCTGCAGATCATCGCCAGAAGCTTTTTTTGTGACAGAAAAACAGCAACAGCAACACAAATTCAGCTCTCTTTCTGGTACGGATTTACTTTTCTTTCGGATATCCAGATGCGCTCGCGGCAAAGCAAACTTGCTTCATGTCGCCGGTCTGCGTCCTCTTCTCCAGTGCTTATGTGCATGTCCACTTCTCTGTCATGATTTCCTCGAAGCAGAGCAAGGCCACGGGAGGAGTCAATGATGTGCGTGCGTGGTCCCACAGAAAAGTTGTAGTATTTCATATGGATTGATTTTGATTCGAGCCGGGGCGGTCCACGGAAGGCAAGAGTAGAGAGGTCCGCAATTGTACTATTAAGCCGCACGCATAAGTCGTGTCAAGCACAAGCTCCAGTGTCGGCGTAAACCGCACCTTTTTACCCTTGCGCACAACTGTGGTTTTGCCTGCAAAGAATCAAAATCCATGGTATTCTACTCAGACTTTTCTATGTGATACGCGCGCACTTGTAGTAGCGGCAATGGATTCGTCATTATAGGAGGCACGACGCAGGGATCCCTGAGCGGAGCAAGAGGAGCGCCTATCAGACCAGCGTCCTCCCTGCAAACGCTGAGATAATTCTGTTGGTGCTGACAACGTGGCGTCTTCATTTGCGAGAACGCGCCAAAAACCTTTTCTGCTCTGGAGCTGTGTTCGTTCGACACGGAAAGCTCCCAGGACGCCGAAGGTCCTGTTAGATACCAGCTCCGACGAAAGCCAGGTCAAGAGGATCCGCATTGTATGAATCGTAGATGCATCAACAAGAAACACACAGACAGAAGATAGCAGATTTTGTTCTCAACTACCAACAGAATGATTAGGTATCCTGGTGGGCTGCGACTTTCGTGTTCGATGAGAGCCCAATGTGAGAGTAAATGAAGACGATGATGATCAAGAAAATGTTAAACTTCTCCTGCGCGCGAAGGCGATTTTCAGCAAAAGACTGGCACAGACCAGGAACATTCATTGGATGTAGAGGACTTGCGATAATTAATGGTAAAGCACCAAGCGAGATCCTGGGTAGAAAAACAAGGCTGGGGGAAGTAGGATGCTGGCGGATCAAAAAACAGATGAACAGGCTCGTGTGCTAGGATTTTTTTTTTTCACCACGTCTACAGTTGCTCCTTCTCCAACCATGCGACTGATCATGATCGTGATCAACATGCTGATATTGTCGTTGTTTGGATCATTCGCAACATCTAAAGGCGGCATGCTCGGCAACCATTGTGTAGAAGAGAGAGAGAGAGATAACCTATATAGCTGATAGCTGATAGCTGATAGCGCCACGCGGACGTGACCACCGGCGGCAGGGACGACCTGAAGGGTCTGGAGACTCCCCTTTTTTCGAGGGGGGTAAGAAAGCTAAATCCGCGCGCAAAACTTCGGCGGGCTTCGAACTACACAAAGATCCTGGCTGTGCGTGAATGCTGCAAAAGGATCAAAAAGTAGTAAGAAGTCGAAAAGTATAAAGCTCTCAAACCTCCGACGTCCTTATGTTCTCATGTTGTTCAACTCCCGACGGTGATCGCAGCACCAGGAGCCCACACGAACTGAAAGAGTAACGCGCGGCTAGCAGACCAGAGCAGGCGCGAATCGCCGGTCATCCACAAGCGGAGACCAAACAGTAAAATTTTCATATTCACCAGCAGAGCAAATAGCAAGCGCAATAGCGCAGAGGAACAAGTAAGTTGTAAGCGCAGCAAGCGCAATAGCTGGCGCAATAGCGCCAGCAGAACAAATAGCAAGCTAGACAGGACTTGTAAACAACGCACACCACACAGTAGAACGAAGGCCTTGTATCCGCTCTCCCGCTATCGTGATGCCGTTTCCACCTCGCAACGCCTTTCTGTGGTCCGTCTGATCTACCCGCGGAAGTTGCGGTGGCGTTACCTTCGTCGGAGGCTTACGTGGGTGAATCCGGGACAGTTTTGGTAGTCAGTTCGTCAAGGTCAAACCGGAAGGCGTAGGGATGGTTTACCTGTGGCCTTGTAGCACCGCCGCTGTCTCGAGCTTACCGTTCTTGGCGCGCACGTAAAAGTCAAGATTTAGGCTTAAAGCGGGCTAATGTTTGAATGAACCTGAAAAGCTGAACAAAAGACGACAGGTCCCCGCAGGTGCTCTTCCACGCAACCTGCTGGCGAACCGAACAAAGGAAAACCCCTCTTCAGACGAGCCTTCAAAGCCAAGCGGATCCCCTGCGACGGCTCGACGCGGCTATTTTAGCGCGTAAGCCATATGGGCTTAGACGTCTTGAGCTTTTTGTATACTTTCGTGGCACTTTTATCTAAGCACTTCTATCTAAGCTCGCTTTTCTAGGAAGGGTTTGGCGGGTGAGCGACAGCTGCTGTCTATGTATACTGTTCACCTCTGATGCCCTCCGCGCATTGCACTCGCGACCGAGCTCAGTAGGGACAGTTTTCGCGTTCTTCGTTCTTCTTAACTATGCACTGCAGCGTGGTGCCTATAGCTAAGTTTCAACCTCAACACGCGCCTCAACATTATCTCACTTTTCCCGATCTTCCTGTTGCTGCTCTCCTATCCCCACCTCCCACTTGGCGCACCCACGGTGCCTGACTTCCGGCTCCGGAGAGCCCAGGGGACGCACTGTGTGTGGTTCCGCTCCTCCCGCACTAACGCCCCACACTTGCCCTGCCGCCTGGGGTATCTCTTGCCACCATGGCCAGGCTGTGGGGGGGAGGGTGGGGATTTCTGCAGCGCCTCGCGGTGCTGCCCTGCGGTCTCGCTCGGTGGCAAAATTGTGCCTGAGAAGACAGGCTCTGGGGGTGGTCGGGGCTGTGGTTTTTTCGTCCGGTGATTGGCGCCGCGCTAATCAGCAGAAGGGAAGAAGCTGCGCGGTGCCTCTTTTTCTGCTGTTTCTCCTGCTGCTGTCGCCGTCGAGCTACAGATCGCCGATCCACTTCGCAATTTTTTCCAGGTCCCGTTCGTGCACTTTCGTTTGTGCTTTTTCGGGTTGCCACTCCACGACCTCCTGGAACTCCGCCGCGCTGAACTTCTCCTGCCCCGCCCGTATCGCGTTCGCTAGCCCCGTCGCTAGGATTCCCGTGTGCTGTCTCGAGGCGGCTTCGTAGTAGTTCAACACGTTCTTCACGTTTTTCGGCTCCTTTAAGAAACTTATGCGAGATTCGCACGACTTAAGTCGTGGCCAGCCTAGATGTTCTTTTCGCAATTGCACTAAATGCACATCTTCGCACTCAAACAAAACGTGGTCAGTGCTTGGGGTTACTTTTTTCTCACAGATCGGACAACTCATGTAGCTGCTTTTAGGGTTCTTTTGGTCGTGCACTGTCTTACCCATGCCTAACTGGCCCTGGTTTCCCACCCCTAGCCATACCAAAAACATGACGTTGTCTATGAAACGAGGGCGCTTTTCGTCACTTTGGTACTGCCCGAGCTGTTCGGACCTGCGTAGTAAGGCGGGGTGGGTGCTGCTGTGTCCTCTTGGGCAGCTGTAGACTATCTGACTCACGATCTTCCGCAGAAGTTTTTCGGTTATTACTTTTTCAAAGGTTTTACGTCCCTGTGACGAGTCTCCTACGTGCTTCAGGCCTCTTGTTGCCATTGCGTCTGCAAAGTCGTTAAAGTAACACCCTAGGTGCGACGGGCACCAGTTGATAATAATCTCTACCCCCGGCGCCGATGCTTGTTCAAGACGCTCCAGGGCCTTCACGATGTCGATCACCATCACGTTGGATTTGTCTCGCAGTGCTTCTATCGCCATCACCAGCCCGTTTGAATCGATGTAGAAGACGTGTCTTTTTATTGATTTTAGCACTGCTGCTGGGATTTTCTCTATTATTTCGTTAATCTGGTGCATCAGCCCGAAACACTCGCCGTCGAAGGAGTCCGGGTTGATTTCTAATTCAAAATGGATTTTCGATTCTACTCCGCAGAAGCTGGCTACTACTGGCGCGGGTCTCGGTGCTGTCGGGAGGACCTTGTGCCATGTTGCACCGCCCCCGCTTCCTCTGTCGCCTATGGCCCCTCCGTCCGTGAAAGTGACCATCGTGTCTGCTCTTGTTAGATGTCGCCTGGCCTCCTTCTCAATCAGGCGCGAGATCATTCGCCGCGCGTTGTTTTTCAGCTTGTGCTTCTTTATCTCTGCGGGGTCGCGAAGACGAAACCTGCTAGCTATTTTGCTCATGGGGAAGACTTGAATCTTGTTGCAACCATTGTGTAGAATAGTTGCGAGTATGGATCTTGTAAAAAGGACAACCAACAACGTGGCGTCCCGGCTTCCACATTACCAGGTGAATAAAAATGATCGAAGCCTTTATTTGCTCTGCAATACAGTCATCATTTCTGGTTCTTAATATACTGTGACTCTTGTTTATCTTTTACTGCGCATCCGCTTCATAAGTACCTACTCTTGCCTTCGTCTCTTGGCCGAATTTCACTTTCTGGATCTTCCAAGGGGTCTGGCGATAAAAAAAAATCAAAAAAGGAATGCCACTTTTCAACGAAGAATTGGAAATGTTTCCACTATTATCCAGGAACATGAGAAATGTATGGTTTGTTTGTTTGTGTTCATGCGACAAGGTGGAAACGCGTTTACTTACCTTTTTTCCCTTAGCGCTATTTCAATAAAAATCCGTTGTTGGGACTTTGCCCCGCTGAAAAAAGGAACTGGCACTTGCTGTGGACCTGCTTCTTGAGCGAAGAACGGAACTACAGCTACCTGGAATTACAACTACCTGATTCTATGTATTCCGAGCACATTTTTTCAAGTAATCATACAGGAGGAGACCTCTAGAGCATCGTCGCGCGTGGGCACGTTCATAATTGGGTGGGCGAGGAACATGTTTTTGTCACACTGCGAAATTTTTATATTGCCCATTGGGCATGTAGTGGCTGTCGAGCTTATGAAAATTTTCCAACTTTCGAAGTTGCCAAGAATAAATCAGTGAGCTTTTTCTTTGTCCAAAATTCAAATGAATATTTCCACACCAACAGCCAGAGATGTATATTTTCCACACACAACATAACTTTACGTATCTATGATCGAGCGTGCCCTGCTGGAGTCCAGATGAACGCATACAGATGAGTCGATACATAGTGCTGAAAAATGCCGAAGTATCCAAATCTTACACTGCAATTTTTCACGATCTGCCATACCGGAAAATATGTACTTCCTAATGAAAAGTGAAACCTTAAAGCAAGATATGGCTGCCAAGCTGAGAAGACGGTGTTTGTAAGTATTTTCTCTAGAGTGCATTCAAAAAATAAAGATTTTCGAAAAATTATCCACCACAACTAACTTCTAACACAGCAGCCGCTTCTCTCGCAGGCGACGGGTCACGTGTACTGCTGGTTGAGTCTTCTCGAATTGAAAAGTAGCTGAAAGCAGCCTAGGAAAACGGCAAACCTGTGGGGCACGACGCTCTTTGATATTCTCCACTGCCTACCCTGCTAGAGCCAAGCACAGCGACTTCGTTTGTGTCGTAGTAAAAACTGTTTCTTTCATCACAGTATCTGAGGACGTCTCCAAATTTCTTCGCGGCAGAATCATAGCTAAGTATAAAAAATTAAGACGCACTCGAACGGATTCGCAGGCGCATTGTTGCGAGAAAATTGGTGTAGATAGAACTCTCGTCCTTGTTCTGTAGTGACTCTACGACGCAGCCACTTGACTTTTCTCGTTTCGGAGACGCCTAGTGGAATCCCGAATCCGCTTATTGTCGTGTGACAGGCGAGGTAGCTCCGCACAAGTTTTTTCGCGCTCGTGCTGGAGCTTGTTTGCCTTTCTCTCCAACGCTTGCTTTTGCTGCTTTGCAGTTTGGTTCCATTCCTGCTTTGTTCTTAGCTGCTTTGCTACTTCGTTGTTCGACCTCTGAGT